TTCAAAAACGTCCAAATCTCAAACGTCATGTCATTTCTCATCTCAAGATGTTTACTTTTTGCGTTATCCTCATGAACTAGTGAAATACCAAGAGAAGCTAGAGTGGTTTTGCAACTATGCTAAAGATCTTGTTTGCTGGTCTGTGAATGAACTTACATTCTGGAAGTGGATGGAAAGTGTATTGGATGGAAAAATTTTAGACAATGCTGAAGAAGACACTGCACAGTGTGATAGTCATGAACAGGCTCCACAGTTTAAGCCAAACAAGGATTTGCAAATTGCTAAAGAACATCAGGTTAGACTTTCTCAAATATTGAATACTCAGGAGCCAACATACAGACAAGTTTCTAAAATGTGGAAGAAGATCAAAGCAAGTCTACAGTCTTGTGAAGAAGGACGTGCTAATCTCTCAGATGCCTTATCTTTACTTGACAGCAAGCTTTTGTCTGAAATAAAGGAACTTCAGAAAGATTTATCAAACCGTCGAGAAAAGTGCAGGGATTTGAAACCAAAACGAGTTTCTGTTTGCATTAAGAAATTGACTGACAGGGATTCTTGTAAGCCTGGAAGGACATCCAGAGAGCCTGTTAATAAGTCTATGGCTTCGGAGCAAATTTTGAGGTTAAGGCAAGTGAGAGAAACACTTGAAATCAAACTCAGCAGCTTAGAAGAAATACATAAGGAAAAACTGTTGCAGCTTTCCCAGGCTCGTGAAGACCTTGTTTGTATTTCACCAGGTATGAGAGGCAATATAATATAAACTTGATAGATTCACTAGTAGTAAGGGAGGGGTGGATAGGTGAGTATAAGCACTCAGTAGGTACATGACCGACTGAGTACTTAGAATTACGTTATGCAAGTGCTGGTCAACCTCAAGGTACCATGTTTACTTTTTACTGTATTATAATACAGTTGAACCTCTCCACAAGAGCCATCTTGGGGACAGAGCAAAGACGCTGTAGTAGAGAGGTGGCCGATATGGGGAGGTAGGGGTGTAATATGACACTTGTATTTTTTCTGGTTGTAGAAGGGTGGCCATTAATGGAGGTTTGATTTTACATGTATTTTATTTATATAGCACTATTCCCATCACTACCCAATAGCGCTTAACAATGAAAAAATTTCTTAACTATTGACCTACATTTATATAAAAATTTATTACAAGCAGGTTATAGCAAAAATGTATGCATACAATGCCATGAAAAATTAAAAAAAAAACCTGTAACAACAGGTGGCATACAAAAGTTGAAAGGAAGCGCAATTCAGTTATTATATATTTTTAGAAAACAGTCCTAAGAAAATACGCATGCCGATTGGTTAAAAATCGTGTTTCTATAAATCAATGTAAACACAGAACTAGCACGAGCTTTCGACGTAATGATGGCACAAGCAAAGAGAATTTACATTTTTATAATCAAAGGTAACATGTTTTCCTTTTTTTCATTGTGGTGTTATCTAAAAAGAAATAGAAAACATGTTCACCGTGTTTCTATTGAGTTATAGAAACACTCGTGAAAGTTTGGGGGAACTCAAAAAAGCTGTGGAAACACTTGCCTGTGGCTCGTGTTCCCACAGCATTTCTCACCCTCCCAAACTTCCACTCGTGTTTCTATGACTCGATAGAAACACAGTACACGTTTTCTATTTCTTAAAAAAAGAACAAATCAATCTAAATAAGACAGGTCTTGGGAGTTTTCATTTAAACTCTTGTAGGGAATCACAAGATCAAATTTTAAATTTTACTTAATTAATTTCAATCAATTAGTTAGCCTTGCAACAACGGGGATGGGATGGGGTAGGTACATGTGAGCACCACATAAAACGTATTGCACCCACGCTATTTGGTTGGTAACTTTAAACAGCTATATTTGTGGTACTCCTTGTGGTACTTTTCTCTTTAGAACAAAACCAATATTTGCTCTACACGCATGCGCAGATAAATTAGCGTTAATGTTGACTACATATTAGGTGGAAGGTACATTTCATACAATATCACACACTAGCGTTGATTGCTTTTCCTTGTGGTAGAAACCCTAACTTGTCATACGCATGCGTTTTAGCATCGTTAGCCTGATACAAGAGCGCTACTGTGACTCTGTATCTTTTGGAACCCTAGCTTGGTTCAAGAAATGTCATTTGCTGTTTCTAAACTACAGTTGAGCGTTTATTTCTTCCTTTAATTGTCTCTGAAACAGACCATAAAGTTCATATCTGCAGCCGAAACTTTCCCGAGTAAGTGGCATTAAAATTGTGGCAAGTAGCACTTTTTGCCTTCAATACTTCTCTTTGAAACGCTTCTCAGTTGTATTAATAGATATCACTGTGTATTAATCTTAAGTGGTTTTATTGTTAACACCAAAGGTGGCAACAGAACGTGTTATTCCGTGACTACAGTCGAACCCCTATTAAGCGGCCCGATATCAAAGTCCCGAAAGTATTGTCAGTAAAATACCGTAAATAAAACCCCTGTTAACCGGTCATCTTTTGGTCGTCCCGATGAGGGTTTTCTATTTCCACCCAAAGTTTAATACACGTAGTTTGGTTTTATTTTAGGAAAAGCGATGACAAATAACAGTCCGAAATTGAAAGTGACGACTGACAAAAACATTTATAACACACGTTTAATGTGTTTGTTTTGACGTTGTTTTATGTTCACTAAGCAACTGACCCGATGGTAAAAAATAGAACTTCGTTGTAGAGCGCGTGATTTTAAAAGGATATTTATAGTTTTGTCCTGACAAGTTAATCAAGAAAACAGTGATACGTGGTCTTTATTATGTGCAACAGAAGTTACAAGCCTTCAAGCATGTTTGTAATTGAATAAATCGCCTTTTTAACTAAGTTTTGTGTGCTAATTCATACTACTTGACTAACAAATGCACCCCGAAATGCAGCCGCACTTAAATACCATATCGGTAGCATGTGTGGGACAAATGGGCAAACTGATTTTGGAGGATTAAACATCTTTGCAGGACACGAAACCAACACTTCATGGGACTCCCGCGAATGAATAGCAAAGCACTTGATGCAACAAGTAGAACCCTAAGCCTTTAAGAACTTACGCCACAACAGGAACCTCAGAGGAGGGCCTAAACAAGGTCAGTGCGCAAACCCGAACATGATCACCAATGGAAGCTTTCAAAACGAATAAGGGAACTAAGAACGTTGACAAGATACATGCCGGTTAACCTTGACTGTTGCACAACCATGGATGATATAGAGACTAACTTAAGACAAACTAAAATTAACATCAAGGTAATGAACAAATTTAGCTTCTAAATACAAGCAAAACATCTTGATATTTTGGTGAAAAGGATCCGTTATTTTATTTAAAAAAATACAGCCTACAGGAAGGACATTCTTTTCCTTTGTTCCGTCGTGTGCGGCAATCTCGTTCCCAGAGACTCTCGGACACCGCGGACCGAAAACGCGCGGGCTCTGAGGGCGAGATTGTCGTCTTTCACATGTTTCTTTTGCTCTCAGAAAGGAAACGTGTACTGACTTCTCCCGGAGTATAGAGAGGAAATTGGGACTAAAATGGCATCAAGTCAAGTTTCATGCCATTGGACTATGTCATTGGACCGGACTTCAGCTCAGTGGATCGGACATCATTCTTTTGGACCATACACGTATAAACTGGGAGTGGACAGGCCTACACGTTCTCTAAAGCGATTTTCGGTATCTCGACCTTTGTT